AAGAAATTATTTCTTCAACAATTGATACTTGCAGAAAGGTGACATTAACCTGTAAAAAAATATACATATATCTTGCAGTAAAATAATTAATAAAAAAGCAATACTTTTGGTAAAAATATGGCTGCCTGTAGCTGAGTTTTTACAGTTTCTTCATAGATATTGGGGGGTTCAATTTTACCATCTTCACTAGGAGGCTGACATAACTTTGAAACACACTCAGTGGTTTTCAAGATATTTGCTGATTCAATTTGTCCAATGCATGAAGTATGGAGATGGTTTATCACCGTTAACGGATGTAAATGTGCAACAGTAGGAGTGAGAGCCTCAATGAATCTGAAATTTGAAACAATCAATAAAAAAGGATAGGAAAAGATACACAATAAGTGAAAAATCAAATATAAGACACTATATAAGAAACTATTTCTTTTTCTATTAAAATTAATGAGATTCCTGCTAGCAGTCACTTGATCACATAGACATGGTTTGATCTTTCCAAAACTCACCTCTGTAAAGTTTCCAAAAGTAGTGGACTTATCATAACATCCAAATCTCCTTTCAGTTTAACAATAACCACAGTTCTAGCTCCGGCATCAACTTGATTACTCAATAACTCTTCCTCTTGAAAAGAACCAGATTCATTCTCTAACTCTTGATCCCAAACATGCATATATGGAGATGTAGGTGTTTTATTAGTTCCCAAGGTATCAGACCTTGATGCCATTTTCAAAGAAGTTATGCCACAACTAAGTGTTTCCATATTGGGCACAAATCTGCCTCCTGAAATCAAAAGTTTCTCACATTCTTATATCCCTCAGATCCTAATTCATAAAATTTATTACAAAACATTTTTGAGATATTATTATTCCCCACAATTTGATATCTAAATTATATCACTATTGACCGATAAAACGTTGTAACAGACTTTGAGAAGTTTTAATGTTAGTACCTAGGTAGAATATTACAACACAGTGGAGAAAACTCAAGAATAAAGTACTAAAAAAAATACAAAAACAGCTGCAGTTACTTCTGTTGATGACTCTGGGCATTTTTATTGTGTTCGCCTGTCCTTGCAGTTGGCTCTACTTTACTGATGATGGGCAGAAGCACTTGTCTGCCGTTCGCTTTATCCATGAATTTTCTTCGTTATCATTTGAATCGACTTCATTCATAAAACCATCTCTCTCTACACACACACATACACGCGTACGCCTATCTCTTACACACATACGCCTTATGCTTATATATCAATTTGATAGGGAAGCAAGTCTCAAATAATCTTGTGGTATGATATTCAGCAAGAGGTAAACATTCTTTGGAAGGAATCTCAATAACAATTACCACCAACGCTTTCTCGCCAAAAAACGCATTTACTCTTTGAGAATTGAATATTAGGTATTTTCGAAATCTGCTTTGACCAGATCATTAATAATTAATGAATTACAGAATTGAAGAAATACAATCGAAATCTGCTCCAATGAAATTTGTTATTTTAAAATGTTCATGTGTAATAGAAGGTTGGTATAAATGTGTCTGTAAGGGAATTTTGTGAAAAAAGATTATGGTGTTGAATAATTTTACATAAAACTTCATCAATTTCAGATGAAAAGCTATTGGGAAATACTCCAATGTTACCATAAAATACTCTAATGTTACCATAAAGTACTCCTTAACGAAAACAAAATGTATGTTAGTTGATGCAATAGCTATACATCCGCCTAAATGACGATATTCAAACAAAAACAAGTTTATAAGTTCACAGATGAATTTATAGCTGTCACAAAAAAACGGGATGTGATTGATACAAAATTATTATACATTTATAATGAGGGTACGCCAACATAACCAAAAACATCACAAGGTTCACAGTGAACCTTGTGAGAAACACAGTGTTGACCAGTGTTATGAAATTGGTCAACTACGATTGGTTCAAAGATGTGAGTTAACAACTATTTTGCTTATTCACCCAACAAGAAACGCTAAAATAATTGACAATTTTTTCAATAGTTATTGAAAAATATCTATTACCTGGACATAATCTGAGAGAGAATACTAGGCAATGCAAGAAATATGAACTTTCTAGTTAAAAATCTATTTTTTGTTACTTACCAACATACACCAATTTATTTTCATCATTTTTCTCAAATAGTGGTTGGGAGAATTGATCTGTTTGTCCAGAATTTCCCCAGTTACTACACCTGACTTGGGTCAAATGTGTTACGTAACTCGACATGAGCATTGGAGAATCAATAATCAATCTATTGACTTGCATGTGCAGATCCACCATTGTGAAGTCTTCTTGACTACCCACTGCCGATGCATAGCTGTTATTGCTATAAGTGTCCGATGAATCGTCCAGAGTGCCGTTCAAGATGTTATCGGTGCTTTCATTGCTCAGATTAGAATTCATAGTTTCCTGAAAATTTGGTACAATGCGAGGACTTGCCGAACGAATAATTGGATATCGATGAGGTATAACTAAGCCTTGGACTGTGCGTGGATGATCTTCCAACTAAGGAAATATAGGTGGAGTCAATAATGCAGAATGAATGGTTATAAATGGTAACCTCCAAATTTTTATGTGATGTGAAATGAGAATATTTTGATATTCATTGAAAAATGATATATGATGTTCTGATTATATTCAACTAAAGAAAGTCTTAACAAACAAATCAGCATATGAGTTATGTAGGTCATGAGAATTATTATAAACCGTCCATCTATTTGGAACTTTCGTAATCAGTGTCCTCAGGAAGAAATCTGATATTTCAGTATGATGTATTGAATCACTAACAAAATATGGAAATGTGTGCCAGTGACCGCATTAAATAATTGTACTGTCCTGTTTTGGGTGTCGCTTATCACAACAAATATTGTCTACGAGTAGAACAAATGATTGAACTATTACTGAGAGAGAACTATTACTGAACTTGATAGAAAAGCAAAAAAAAACAAAGAACAAACCGTGTCTGAAGACTGTATCGAGAAGAGATACATACTAGAAAATAAATATTTCCAAATAAAGTCCCGTAGGTTCTGGTAAATGCCTGCCAGAAAACAACTACTTCCCCAGCTAATAGCACGCTGGATATCGAATTACATCCAACAGACATTTATGTAAGATACCTCACAGAGGTTAGTCTCGCAGATGTTTCTTGTTCATCCAGCAGCAGGACCATGAAGAAATGATTCGAGTAAACCCACAGTGTAGTTGGGGGAGTTGAATATTTTCAGATTTTATTTCGTAATTTTTATTTTCCAGTAGAATACAAAGAATTAATATGGGGGAGTCCACATGAGGAGAACAGTGACTTTTAAAATGAATCTGCGCTGTGAAAGATGCCATTTTGTAAATCATTTTGTGGAAATACCACAATCAAATGTTAAATAATAAATAAAGAAAATTTACTTACATGTTTGCCCGAAACAAAAATTCTGTGTTCTGGAGTATGAATCTCATGGTCACTTCTGTGGGTAGATAGTTTCAGTCTATGTGTTTCTGGAGCAGAACTTGGTGCTGTGGTAGGTCCAGATAAATTATGTGTATTTATTCCGTTTCTATCTGTTACTATACTAAGTTCACTGGAGAACTTTTTTCTATGAAATAAAAAATTATTCAACTAATGAATACGGTCAACATAAATCTATTTCAACTTCATTGGTTCCATATAAATGATTCAAAAATTACATCCATTGAGAAACAATTGATTATTTGTGACGATTGTGAGTGAATTCTTTGTATACCGATTAACTTTCTATAGGCACAAAAGTGAATACACATTTCAAACTTTGATTTCCAGAATTTGATGATTGATGATTTGATTATGTGAACCATGAGATACATCGTGAAAGCTTCAATATCGAAGTATCAGAGAAACTTTCTTTAATTTCAAATTGTGTATCTCTGATATATGCCAATTTGAGATAATCGACATCAGACACAATTAATACCAAATGTAGGGTATCACTAATTCCTATTAAAAAATCTGTTAAGACACCATGAATATAAAAGCACATCAAATTACATGAAAAAACTGAAGTAATTACTTTCAAAATTGCTATAGCAGATGTGTGTTAACATCAATAGTATACAACAGAGCCCAATTTTTTGGCACATTTTTTTATATTATATAATCAAATAATTTGATATTTAAAAAAGGTGCAACAAATTTGAATGAGAGACTAAATCTGATGAATTTTTGTTCAAATCGTAATTTAAAAAACGATTCAATTTTTGAAATAGCAAAAAAAAAATTTTAAATATTGAAAAACCATTGCGATAACACTGATCTGAATTGATACAAATTATGTTTACCTCTGAGTTGGAACGCTACCAGATTCCTGCCTTGCTAAAGTATCCCCAGAACTTAATATTGAGTTTCTCAAACTGGAACATCTGGAATTGAGATTAATATCTTCGTCCGCTGAGAAAAATGCCTCAGAATGATTCTCGCTCGACATGGAAGTTGTTCTTTGAACCTCCTTCTGAAACCTTTCTTCTAAACTAACACAAGCTATCAATGAATGATGAGATTCTGAGACGTTTATAGGTTTAGAAAGCGGTTGGGAAGAAACTGAAATATCGCTACTCGGGCCCTGGAATGAAAACAGTGCTAGTACTAATGAATCTTACATTCATCATTAAATACATACACTCTGACTTTGAAGGAATGGTTCTTTGTGGTCAGTTATTGGTGTATTGAAATAATCCACAGCCAGTTTGGAATCGGAAACGCTGTTTTTGGGAAGATGATCAGACACATCAAGCCCCGCACCAAGTTTACCTTTGTCACATTGGAGTTTAGAATCGCTATCTAATTTAATAGGCAAATTTGAGGGATTCGTTTCAATAAGTCTTGAATAGGGCACTTCTTTCAACAAAGTACTTCTGAAAGAGTGAATGTTGATTGAAAAACAAGATGAGATGTGGAAACAATTACGAGCATATCTCCTTTATTATATTAAACAGTAAGATAAAACAATATCGGCCGTTTTTAGCAAATTCACTCTCGTAATAGATACTTATTGAAAAGTACGAGTAACAAACTCAATTTATTTTATGGATTATGGATTTTATGGATTATTCACATCACAATGTTAACAAACTCCGTGATAATACGCTTTGGAGGAAAATCAACGTCTCAATTTTTTTAAAATCACCAATCACCAGAAATGAAATACTATTCTTGATGCGCGTTTTACCAACCAAGTTGGCGTCTTCAAGAGATGAAGAATTCTTCTTTTGGAAGTATGCGTATTTGCACCCTATTTAAATGCTATTACTAATTTAATCATTCTGAAATTAGATAGAAGTTAGATAACAATAAAATAATTGAAAAAAAAATCCAGTAAAACCAACGAAAAATCAAATTGGATAAAAACTCGACAAAGAAATTCCGTACGATCCCAGACGCTGAACAAGCTCTAGGGTGCCTCATTGAGGTTGGATCGAATCACTGTGCCTGAAGAACAACATATGAAGAACTCGCCTTCCCTGGGGCATCAGAACGAGTTTTTCCTGATCGGTCTTGACCGAGGAATCGTCGTTCCACAGATAGCAATTGTAGCCGACGTGAAAGGCATCAGTGACATAGGACAAATTCTAATTAATTTCAGAATAATTAAATGTATGGAGTCAAAAAAAAATTACCGAACTGAAACAAACTGTATATCTGTCAAAACAAGATACTGAAGAAAGCCAAAATAGCTCATCTAACCATTTTCTCAAAACAATATTTAGGGAGTAACTTCATTCATTGATTCAGACATTCAGGACTTTATTTTTTAATATTGTTTCTTTACATCTAGCTGATAGTTATAGTACATATGTGTACAATGCCGTGAATAAATAAATAAATTTTACAATGTCATACTAATAACTTACTTCATAGAAGTAGAAGAGAGTCTTCGGTTAACTTTTTTTTCATTTGTATTGGAAGTCGAGTTGGTTCCTTTTTCTATATTCTCAACAGCACAAGTTTTTGGGCTCTCACAATGTTTTTTATGATATTTCGAACCCATCTGATTATCTTGAAGAGTTATTTCTGAGATTATGTAAGGTGGAGTACGAAATATCAACATCCCTTCATGTAAAATACTTTGTCCAAATCCTGGGTCTTTCCCTATGTCGTTTACCCTATAAAAAAACTCAATGGGAAAAAAGCAATGAAGAATGATAAGATTTCTTTTCAAGAATATTCATTAAAACCCTCAGGTATCTTGGTTCAACACTAGGAATTCAAATCTTTTTGTTGCATTTGCATTATAAACTATATTCATTGTTATTTGCTCATTTTAAATTTCTTAAAACTTAGTTTAAATATAATCAAATTATGTATCATAGCAAAATTTTTTCTTTTGGAATTAAAAATTGATCAATTGTTTAATAATTACAGTTTATATGTCATAACATAGATCAAAACATAGACAATTAAAAATAGTTTCGAATATTTTTCCTACCTAAATGCAGCTATATTCATACCCTCTTCCAAATCAATTTTGCTTGGCTTAAAAAATCTTGTTCCATTTTTATTACTTCCAAAAAATACACATCCCCCAGTGCAACCACATTTCCCTGTTGTTTTGTTGTGATCTGGCCATAAAAACCATAGTTTTTTATGCCGATCATCGTGCATTTTCAAAAACTTCTGCTGGTTATTATGGATATTTTGATATTTTGCATCTACCGAAATAGCAGATTCAATTATTATGGGGCCAAAATTCACGGCACCAACTTCAAGCCACAGGTCATTGTTATCCACACTAAACCTAGAAAAATAAATGAAAATTGGTTTGGGTTAAAGTTGTAAAATAACAAGTTGAATTTGAAATAATAGTAATAATGATAATAATAATAATGTTATGAATCAAGTAAACTTGGGGATAATTCTTTGCAAGAGAAGTCCTAATTGTAACTGAGAATATCTTGTTGGTATATTTTTTTTATAATCAGCAATAGAGATCCAAGGAGTACTTACTTTGAATGGTTGTACTTATGTGGGTGCCAAACAAGTTGTCTTAAAGACATACTATATATTATACAACTCATTCCAGAGTTGACTTGTTTTCCATGCAAATTACAACTTGCCAGGCGAATTGGTGACAACTGGAAATATTCAATGAGCATTTATTTTATTCATTGTATTAAATAATATATAAGGATAAATACACCATATAACATTTTACACTATATTGAGCGAGATGTTTAATACTCATTTATGTTGATGATCTTAGAACTTTTCTTGACATGTCCATATGATTTGGGTGATCTTATGGATAATAAAAGAGTACTACTACTAAAATGAAAGTTCAATCTACTTTTCTAAACGCTTAATTATTAATCAAGAGAATTATACTTACCCACATCTGAAGTGCTGCTCCAGATTCAACCAACCAGAAGTCAACAGCATCAATTGCAAGTCTACATAACTTGTATTTCAACTTGTGCTCATCTAGAGTTTCATTTTCTTCAGATGGCATTACATTGTTCTTCACAGAATCCTTCTTGTCTTCCTCTTTTTTTTTATCTGCCTTCCCAAATGATTTAGTAGCAGAATTAACGCTTGTAGATGGTAGACCCAATTTGTTTACTACATTTGCATTATATTTGGGTTGTAGCAATTGCTGAATAGCTTGCTGAACATGTTGCACATGAATATTCTGAACATGTTGTGTGCTCTTTTTCTTCACAACTGGTTGACTCAGTAAAATGTCATCTTTAGGTGAATTCATTTCATTTTCATCATCAGTGATCAGAAGAATTAAAGTTTCCAAGCAAGCAAGAATCGAATATAATTGTGGGGTAGTCAGTTTTCCACTAAGTTTACCTAATTGAATTTCGACTAACCATGCATATTCGACAGTGTCCTGATCTAATGACTGGCCAACATCAGAAAACATTGCATGGCCACGGATCTGTGAGAAAAATGATAATTTACCTTCCAAACCTTAAAAACCTCTAACTAATAGAATGTTCATTAATTGAAACCATTTCAAAAATGCTCAATACTTACAAGTATTATAAAAATTATTGAAATAACAAAAGCATTTTTTTACCTGCAATGATGATAGAGCCAATTTCCCCTGGTTCAAGTGTCTTTCTTTCGATGATCGAGGCAAATTATCAGATACTAAAAGTATTGCTGGGCTTATCAATAGTTGAAGTTCTGTCTGGTCATACCTCTTCTTCATTTCAAAACCAACACGTTCAACTAGAATTACAGGACAAGGAGGATCTTTTTCTGTGCAATTCTGAAATGAAACAATACATTTTCAAGATTGTCAGTTATGAAAGGTAATAACAACATAACAGTGCCTTATTACTCTTCACAGTATGATTAATAGTCATCTCATAATGATAATTAACTTACTTTAAGCAAGTGGCCTTGTACGTCATGCATTATTATAGATACATCTACTTCCAGAGGTCTGTAGTTACGACTATCAAAATCATCTCTGAGATCAAGGGGGGTGTTAACGTTAGTGCTCTCATCTGTTTTCAATTCAGAGCCAGTATTACTATCAGAGCCCATAGCCTGCTGCATGTCAGTGAATGACTGATCTTCTCCAAAAATATTTTCCTACAAAAATTAAATATTCAAAATCTTCAAATATTTCTCTCAAGCAATTAATTTTTTATCTCACCTTGAAATTCATGAAATTCTTCAGTGCTGTCCCATACAGCAAAATAACAGATGGTCCTATTTCCAGTTCAACACTGACAGTATCAGCTGCAAGTGTTGTCGGATCGAATTTTTGGTTTCCTTCAGGTGATATTTTTTTATGTTTCCGCTGGTGTGGAAAACGAATTGGTGATAAAAGTATTTCTTCCTTGACAGGTGTAGAAATGTCAGCTTGGGGTTGAGGGCCTAAAGGGGGACAAGGATGGTAGGTGTAAAGTATGTTTATAGCTCCAATTGGTACCCACCAGAAATCTACCCAACCAGCACTAAAAAGGAACAATGTCAAAAGTTTATATTATGAATGATACTCTTGATTACCTATTCTGACAGATGTTTCTCCACTTTGGTATTACTTCAGTCTTCTTAGTAGTAGAACCATCTTTTGAGAGTACTTTGGCATGTTTTTCCAATGCCAAAACAATATTACGACTAGTGTGATACTCTGGTATAAATAAACTTAAATCTAAACTTTCACCCTGCAAAATAATAAATTATGGTGACCTCTGAAGAGTTGAATTAGTATAACTTCAACGAGAATGATCATCTCACAGATAATCTTTTAATTTCGATAAACTACCTGAATCTTCCATTGTTTGTATACTTTTTTATAATTGAAAATAAATACATCCAAATAAAATCTAAAAATATTCATCTTCCCAACTACCTCCTCCGTAGGTTCTGGTAAATGCCTTCCGGAAAACAACTACTTCCCCGGCTAATATCACGCTGGATATTGAATTATATCCGACAGGCATTCAAGAAAGATACCTCACAGAGGTTTGTTTTACATTTACGAACGAAAAAAAAAAACAGAAAATTTTTCTGGATCTCGTCATGAAGAGTTCAGCTTCATTCCTGAATTATGTTGAACACTGCATACAATTTCATCACCGTACCCAGCTGGCATACATTTCTAACTAATAGTTCGAATACTAGCCACCGATGGGGCTCGCTAAGCGCATCATTGTGAGTCGTTTCAATTCATGTTGTCTCTAGCGGTGAGCTGGACTTAGGCGGTTTGAGTTGTTTCCGTCAAAACCGACGATCCACTGCTGCCTTTTTTGTGGGCCTTTTAAGCAATGTAAATTTGAGGCCACGTGTGAGAGAGCAGAACAACCTTATTTGTTGTCGGCCTATTTCAGTTCGTCACTTCGTTTCCGTAAGACCCGTTGAATCTACGTCAAGCTAACCGTCGATCCGAGATCTATTTGACTGAATCCGAATATTTTGTATACATCATATTTGTTATTTATTAGAAAATAGTTATCCAGAATACAGTTTTATGTTATACCACATCAAGTACCTTTCTACTTGTCAATCACATTTTGTCCAACTAAGCTATTCTGCTACCCAAACAAATTAAACTAACGTGAATGGAAAACACGTTACAATACTAATGATTATCTTGGGATTCATGGTTGGTTTACAATTTTGAAAATTTTTTAAACCTGAAAGAATGTGCCGATCGTAACATATCCCCAAATTCCAGATATAATCAGATCGCATCATTAAGCAATGACAACTCCCAACGCTGTGAGGTAAATGATGATCAGGTTCCAGAATCATGTGTCTTGAGACACAATGAGTCAAGAATGAAATCCTATTTGTCTGGTCAATATTTGTGCCTTATTGTTGTAAGCACGCATTTTATCATTTTACTTATTTATTACATAAAAATTTTTCTGGATCTCGTCATGAAGGGTTCAGCTTCATTCCTGAATTATGTTGAACACTGCATACAATTTCATCACCGTACCCAGCTGGCATATATTTCGAACTAATAGTTCGAATACTAGCCACCGATGGGGCTCGCTAAGTGCATCATTGTGAGTCGTTTCAATTCATGTTGTCTCTAGCGGTGAGCTGGACTTTGGCAGTTTGAGTTGTTTCCGTCAAAACCGACGCTCCACTGCTGCCTTTTTGTGGGCCTTTTAAGCAAGTAAATTTGAGGACACGTGTGAGAGAGCAGAACAACCGTATTTGTTGTGGGCCTAACTACTTCAGTTCGTCACTTCGTTTCCGTAAGACCTGTTGAATCTACGTCAAGCTAACCAAACAAATTAAACTAACGTGAATGGAAACCACGTTACAATATTAATGATTATCTTGGGATTCATGGTTGGTTTACAATTTTGCACACTTTTTTTAAACCTGAAAGAATGTGCCGATCGTACCATATCCCCAAATTCCAGATATAATTAGAGCATTCCACCATCATTAAGCAATGGCAACTCCCAATGCCGTGAGGTAAATGATGATCAGATTCCAGAATCATGTGTCTTGAGACACAATGAGTCAAGAACGAAATCCTATTTGTCTGGTCAAGATTTGTGCCTTAGTGTTGTAAGCACACATTTTATCATTTTACTTAATTATTACATTATTATTATTTTTATTACTATTTTATTTAAACATAGATAATCAAATCATTTACAATAAATGAG